ACCCTACTGCATTAAAAATTTTGAATCTCATTCTGTTGTCATTACCCTTAGAGCTACTCACTTAACACTCAGGCCTGCGTATGATCTTCGCAAATACAAACGCGGTGAAACTACTAAATCAAAAGCGGTTACAAACGGTCAGCGAAGCATTGTGCGCCTTTACTACCCATTCAGGGTAGTGAAGAAAATTCTTCTGAGACACCCAGATGCTAAACGCTGTGCGCTTTCATATTTTCCTTAGTGACCCTTGGGGAATATCTAGCAGTATAAATTGCCTTTTTAGCTTTTGGATACATTTCAAGATGGAGTTTCTTATTAAAAATTCAGAGGGAATCTTCTTTGGTAATCATTTAATGCTTCACATCAGTGGATTCACCTTTGCTTTCTTACAAAGTTTTGCTCTTCCTTAGTAAATTACTGACAAGATAGGGAGAGAGGAGGTGTTGCAGGACTGAATTTTCTTATAAAACTCAGGGGTGCTCTAGTTCCAGTGGGAGATAATTGTCTGCCCTAAGCTACAGCATTTTACTTTTTTAAAGTAGATTAAGATTTTTAGTGGGACTATCATTATAAGAGTGTATTGTAAAATACAGAAAAAGGTGATTTTTTCAATAGGGAAATATTTACCAATTTTAATAAATCATAAAATATGGCATGTAAAATACAGAAAAGGTGTATTTTTGATAGGGAAATATTTTTCAATTTTAATAAATCATAAAAATTGCATTTTAATTGGCTGTCCGTAAAAGCATACCTGAAATATGTATGATGCTTGGTATTTTGGGACAGGGACAGGGAGAGGGGAGTGAAAGGGTATGAAGAAGTCTATGTATATGTAAGGTTAAAATTTTAATTGAATATTTTAGTATTTATCTACAGTAAATGGTTTAGAAATGTTTTATTCTTGTCTACATTGCTGATTCTCTGGATAATTATCTCACAGAATAATGATATATTTAATTTGGAGACTGAAGAGAGCATACTATAATTAGCCCTTCAATTCATTGTCCTTCTTTCCTTCAAAACAGAAATAGCTAAATTCCCTAAAATACAGAATACATCTTTAACAGTGTGCCCAAACCCAGTACTTCCTGGTTGTTTTCCTTCTCTTCCCTTTGGGAAACATTTATCCCTCTGGTATTTCACTGGAAAGACCTGTTTGTGCACTCATTTCAGGGAAGTCTTCAGTGAGCCCTGTGGACGGTTTTTACTCGTGTGACCATGGGGCCCCCCAGCTCAGCCTCGCCCTGGATTCTCCGGGCCGGGCCGAGTCCTGGCGTCATGTGGCTGCTCTCATCATGCTCACCTTTACTTGGCCTGTGACAGGTCATTAGGAGAAGTCCAGCTGTGGGCCGGACCACGTGTACGAGCTGGAGGTGCCGTAGAGATGCTCTGATCGTTAATCCCAGCAAACATGCTAGTTAATTTTTGTTGGCAAATTCAAATACATTTTAGTGTGTAAAGTAATACATGGAACTAAAAAAGACTTGATGTCTGAAGTCACAATTTTTCTCAGCCTAGCAGATGCCAAGGATATAGCCAGAATATAAACAGAAGAGGGATACTGTGTTTTCTGGACAGAGGAGTTAGACACATAGATTAGCAAAAGAATCAGGGACTAATGGCACAACAGGTTAACCAAAAAACATTATTTTTTACTACTACTAAAGCCACATTTTTTATTTTGCTACCAGGGACTATTTTAATCTGCAGTGTCGTATAGGGATTAGAGTTTATTAAATATTTACAGGAACAATTATGTGCACCTCAATTTAATTGAAATGCATTTTAAGCAAATGGAAATTTATGGAGCTCACAGATTAAGTTAAAAATTCACTTTTATAAGTAGCAATCCATTTCTTGGGAGGGTCTTTTGGCCTGAGCCCTGTTTTAGGAGAGTGCATAGGATATTTATTTTGTATTTAAGGAGTAGGAGAAATGGCATAAGGTCTGATGCCTGACCTCAAGGAGCATGCTTAACAGCCTGCCTGTAGAAGAAAGATTCACATAAAATGGACAGCAGAGTAGCAAACAGTAACAGAATATGCAATAAAATGCCCAAGTGGGTGGTACATTAAAGGAGAAATAAATATCGATCTCCTTTTCCAAATGAAATTGTATACAAATTCCAATCTAGAAAACCGAGAAATGTGATTTTTTAAAACTGCAATTTTGTCATACAAGCTCAAATGTATGCAATATTTACTCAAGAAATAATTCAAAATGCAAAGAGGCTGGTCTATAGTAAGTAATGAGTAAATGTTCTTTACTTTTGTTAATATTAGTTTTAAATTATTTTTGCATAGTAGTTTTGCATAGCAGTTGCAAAATAACATTAGCCTTAGCTTTCAGTCAATTTCTATATTTTGTTTAGCTTGTACTTTTCAGAGAATTCTGAATTCATACAAATAAGTAGTTGTATGTGGAAGGTTTTGTTTGGTTTTAGTAGTTCGCTTTGTCTCATTGTGATTGCCTTCATTTTAATGAAGATAGCAAGAGAAGTGATTCTTTTAAGCAGAGCCACCCTCCCCAAAGGCGGGGGTGGGGGGACTCAAAACTTGGTGGCACAAGTAAATTCACTGGTTATTTTAGTGTACACCCCCCCCCCCAAATGGTGAGTGTGTGTATATGTATTGTGTTAATGTGTAACAGTCCACAAAGTAAAATAGGACCAGATGTCTGAGAACCCCTTAAAATATCTTAAAGTGATGCAAGTGTAGAAAGGTATGCAGTTTGTTTCTTATAAGACCTGGGTCATCCGACCACAGCATGGAGTTCAGCCCTGATGCACCACCTGTGTTTGTGTGGCCCATGGGCTAAAACGGGCTTTTACATTTCTGTAGTTGAAAAAATAAATAAAAAGAAGAGTTTATCTTGACACATAAGAAGTTTGGAGGCAGAGCTAACAGGACTTGATGACAGATTTGGATTTGGGGAGCAAGGAGTGAGATGTCGCTGAGACTTTTCAGTTGAATTTTTAGTACAGGATGAGGAGCAAAGCCATTCTCTGAGACAGTAACCTGGGAGAAGGGCTGTTAGGAGTTCTGCCGTTGGCATGTGGAATTGAAGGTGCCTTTGAGGCTTTCATCTGACGTGTTCTGAATGGTCTGTGTGTGAGTGGATTGTGTGTGTCTGTGTGTTAGTAATCTGTGGAAAGCTGCTGTTTAGAACCATAGGTATGGTTGTGAACACTAGAGACTGCTTATAGACTAACAAGGGAAGGGGGCCTTGACCAGGCGTTAAGGGATGTCTTTTAATGACCATGTGGGAGAGAATGAGCCGGAAAGTACAAAAAGGTGAAAGTAAAAAGAGGAAAAGAGTGTTGTGTGGTAGGAGTCAAAGGAAGAAGAGTGTCCGGGGAATGATAGAGTTTTAGAGAAGTCAGCAACAAGGGATGGATGAGTGTCCGTGGATTTTGGGATGTGAACATCTCTCAAGGCTAGAAAGCAAGAAATGTGATGAGGAAACAAGAATAGAATCCCTAAATTATTGTTTTATCAAAGTTATTTATACTTTTAACTAGATTAGTTTTAAAGAAAACCTGCATTCCCAGGTGTGATCTTTTTATTGTTCAATTGATCTCCAACTTTACAATGGCAGTTAATTAAAAAGTAGGATTCACTTAAGTTTGCTTCACAGCATATTTTGATTGAAAACATATTTTCCCTATCACCTATACTTAAAATCTTACTTAGATTATACAGCAAATCCCCTTTAATAAAAAAGTGCAGTAATGAGAAAAAGTTGTTGCAACAGTCAAAGTGACTGAAAAAAAAAAAGCAAAATTGGTGACTCTTGGGAAATATCACTTTGCTCACAGGCCTTGTCAATTTTCAGTTGGTTCTCACCCAACTTAATTGTATTACTCTGATTTGTTAAATAATTCCTTCCTCCTCTACCAAGATTTCTATATGTGGTGGACGGAAACTATGATCAAAGAAAGGTTAGAAAAGCAGAGTGCTGGGTGGAGTAGAAGAAAATCTGCAGTGGGTTTGGTCTGTAGGAATTTGGGTGAGGATTTCCCACATGTGGTTTCACATACGTATATATATTTTTTCTCTTTTCCTATTTTATTATGGTGTGTTTTAATGTGAAAGGTGATACTGTTGGGTTCTTTGGCAGCAGACACTGAGACGGAGGTTGGTTGGCGTCTAAGGTGTTTATTAGGGATCAACTGCTGTGAAAGCAAGTGTGAAGAGGGGATTGGGCAGAGGGAAAATTCAGACCGTGGTGCTGGTGCTGCCAAGGCCTCTGCGCAGCCTGTGGAGCTGGATTGCTTTCCGGGGTCCTGTTAGGGCTGAAGTGGAGATGGGTCTTTCTGTCCCAGCAGACAGCTGCTGCTTGGGTGAATCGTCTCCCTGTAGCTGAGGCTGACCCTAACGACCAGGTCCAAGGCAGATTAGGTGCTGATCCCACCCCATATTTGGCAACAAGTCCTTGCTTGGACGGGGATCTGAGCAACATAACTCGTCCCTAACATGCCATCTTATAATTGTCCATGTAATTGAGTTGAATACCCTCTATACCTTTAGATTGCTTTGGCTGCTTTGCGTTACCGGGAAGGACAGCCGCTCACACTCATTCAAACAGTCAGGAACATTCTGGCCCGTGGAAACAGAGCCCCAGAGGAGGGGTGGGCTCCCCGGTGTCCCTCATCCCGCAGCCCCCGCTGCCTTCCCCGGGATTCTCTTGACCTTGTCGTCGGTGTCTCGCAGGCTTCCCCCCATGGCTGACCTCTGCACCCACGGGGACCAGAGCCGGAAGGGGCGTCTGGGGAGGCTGCACGGAGCCCGCACGCTCCTGAGCCGACCCCTGGGCCGGGGAGCTGCGTGCGGGGGCAGAGGTGGAGAAGGCGCTGACCGAGGAGCCGAGGATCGGCGCCGGGTCCGGGAGCCCCGGATGGAGTCTGTTTCTAGAACCCGTGGATTCCCAGGAGGAGTCGAGGGCTACTGAAAAAGGGGGGGAAGCCACCAGCAAGTGACGACACGTGGGTTCGATGAATGCCCCTGACTATGCTGTTTGCTGCCTGATGGCAGTAGTGGGTTCCCCTAGCTTCCGTGTGCTTAACTGCAGGCCAAGTTCTATACCCGGAACTTAGTTCCTGAAAACCCAGTTTCCCTTGTTCTTTGAGCTGTTACCTGGGAGATAAATTAAACTTGTAAACTCTAAAACTGCCCTAGAGTCCGAACATCCAGTGCAGGGAAGGAAGATGCAGGGACTGTGCAGATAGGGTAATCAGCGTTCGAAATGGGTATGTTGAGTTTGTCCTGTCTTTTTTGCTCTGGTTCACCTCTGGGTGGAGATGATAATGGGAGATTTGGGGGTGAAAGAATCAAAGACTTAGAAAATTAAAAAATGTAAACCCAGTTAAATCACTGAATGCTGACTTCTGGGTCAAGCTGAAATTCCAAAGAGAAAGAAAAATGAATAAAACTGGCATATAGGAATTGTAAATGTTAAAATATTTATCCATTTAACAATTTCCTAGTCCCATCTGAGACACCTATTGTATAGATAGGAAATAGAGGCTATAAAAATTTCATTTTCTTGGAGATTTTGTTGGAATTTTTATAGAACATCAGCATTTGCTTTCTCTGCCTTTACTAAGTGGTTGAAATTGTAGACTGACACTTATTAATTATACCAGATTTCTAGTTTTAATTAGAGAATCTCTTCTGAGACTAAACCTTTTTACCATTAGACTGTTTGAAACCTATGAGATAAAAAGGGAGAGTTCTTTCAGAAAATTATTTACATGATTTTAATTAATGATTATAATCTCCATGGTCATTTTTGCAAAAGAGCATTTAATCCCTTAACCAGTTTTCATGATTTGCATTTTGCAAAAACATGTCAGCCCTGCAGGCTTATTATCTCAGAGTTGTGTTTTTTCCAGATGAAACTTATTTGGGGGTGAGTTTTAGTTTGCTACTGCCCTGAGCCCCGTTTCATACCATAACACCTGTTTCTCATGCAGAGCAAACCGATTGGTAGAAAAGTAAAGTTTGCTTCTTTTTGCCAAGACATAGCCCTTGGCAAGGTTACCTTTGAAAACAGTTTTTCATGCAGAGACCGTACACAAGTAGCATCGCTGTTGCCAAGACTCTCTGACTAATGAAGGGTCGGGGAGATGGTGTGTGCTTTTTCATTGCTCGCGGCACGTATATGTAGCATTTCTTCTGAGAAAAGGCACTCTAGCGTTTCAAACAGAAGTTAGAAGTTTAACCTTCCAGGAGGAAGGTCAGTGTTAGTTTTTATTGATAAAACAGAAGAAAGCCACTTTATAAGAATATGAAAGATAAATTCTTTGCTAAGTAGAAACGATTAAACAGTGAGTTTCCCACCTTTCTTATGAAAATCAGTCTGAAATTCTTTTCCATTTTCAAAGTTGCTTTTTTCTTTTTCCTAGCTGAGGTGTGGAACAGATCTTTCATACCGATAATGCTCAGCACTGCTCTCCAAACCCAGATGCCTGTACATGGCTGCTTGCTCTGTTTTGGTGCAATTCTGCCGTATATATTTTTGGTCCTGTTTAATTATATTTAATGAGAACATTTACATTTCTCATATACTTTAAGCTACTGGTAGGTGAATGGTTTCATAAACTCTGAAACTAATGCTTCACAAGTGGGAAAATCCTGGAAAGCAATGTTTTGTAAGTATACACGGAGGTAGGGAAGGAGTGCAAAATGTGTATTCCTATATGTATGATCAAAATAGTGGCTGTCTTAACTCTGTGTGCGTGAGTGTGAAGCCTTAGAGAGAGGGGCCTAGTGTTTCTTTATTTTCCTCCTCCAGAAACAGTCTTTGGTGCATGTTTACCCCCGTTTAAGGAGTTTTCATATTTTATACCTTAAATACTGATTATTTGTGGGTTATATTTTTCAAAAATTCTTTTTCCTTTAAGTCATGGGCAAGGAAAAATAAGGCATTAATTCCATAAAATTTCTGCAATATTGATGCATAATATTGCCTTACTGAACAAGTGCAGGTAGCTTGATTGACAACATTTCTTTAAATAACAAATTTTGTTATGGAGATACTGCCAAAAGGCTTTACCTATCCCCTCAGTATTGCAAGAATTCAACTTTTTTCACTTCAGTTTTACAATCTTTACTTACTAATTTTGGTCAAAGACAATTGGACCCAGCATTATTCAGTTGTTCATCAAAAGTTGGGAAATAAATTCTACAAAAGGGACTGAAGACAAAACACTAATTAATACTCATTACAGTTCTCGTTTTCATTAATATTATTAGTTGATGTTTTACAAAAAGGAACTCATGGATCACTCTGGGCTGTCATTGTAGCTCATGTTCTAGCATACTGCAAATTATAAAGGAATATTGCCAGGAAATGAGAAAACTTGAAATAAGCAGAAAAGTTTGCTACTGTGTGAAATTTTGTCTATTCTGAACTGAGGCAGTGTGTCAGGTGGCTTCTTACACCTGTATGTAGTTGGAAATTTTTAGAATGACCATGAGAGCAACTAACACATACTGAAACTTTGATATGTGCCGAGGGTTATTCTCGGCACTTACTGATAGTATTGAATACTTTTTAATTTTTATAACAGTGCTATGAGGTATATCACCATTTTAAAGATGAGAAACCAGGCATTTATTGCTAGGAAATGACCCAGCTGAGGTTTGGACCAGGCGGACTGAGCCCATTGAGCAGCTGACCCACTGCTCTTTCTGCGTCACAGCTGTAGTGCAGGAAAGGGGACCCCGTCCAGGGCCTGAAGCTGGGCTCTCGTCTAACACTCGGAAATGAATTGTCCCAGGAGACACACGTGCTGACAGAGCAAGAGATCTTATTGGGAAAAGGCGCCCAGGCGGAGAGCAGGAGGGTGAGGGAACCCAGGAGCCCTGCTCTGCCGCGTGGCTCCCAGTCTCGGGTTTTATGGTGATGGGCTTAGTTTCCGGGTGGTCTTTGGCCAATCATTCTAATCCAGAGTCTTTCCTGGTGGCGCACGCATCGCTCAGCCAAGATGGATGCCAGCCAGAGGGATTCTGGGAAGTGGACGGACACGTGGTGTCTCCTTTTGACCTTCCCTGAGCTCTTCTGGTTGGTCATGGCTTATTAGTTCCATGTTCCTTACCAGGATCTCCTGTCATAAAACAACTCATGGGAATGGTTACTAAAGGGCCTGACCAGGGTGGGCGGTTTCAGTCAGTGTGCTTCCCCTAACAACACCCCCCTGAGAGACTTCATACTCAAGATACTTCTTGGGAACTGGGGTGGAGGTCTCTTTCTTCTGTAACTTCTTCCTGCTGTGCATGGGCATAGGCCTGCCTAGTAAAGCAGAAGTCTCTCTCTACCTGATCTAAGTCAAGGTATTTTTTGCCTGAAACCAGCATTCACCTTTGTAATAACAGCAATTTGGTTTGAAACTGTTGGCCCCTCTCGGAGATGAAATAGACAGGAGCCAAACAGGAGACCTAACGGGATGGTCATCCCTGGTCCCTGGAAACAGAAGGCAGCATTTGGGGTGAAGGCTGCAGGGTGTGTGACCCTGTTTAATTGATTGGTGGTGAGGCAACAGAGCTGTGCTTCAGGAATCTTGTGTTCAGTCTATCTTGTGTTCAGTCTTGTGTCCACCTGGGTGGAGTTCTGTAGAAGAACTCAAAGACACTGTTATGCATATTTCTTTGAGTAGGAACCAGGACCCTGTCTGGAGGCTGTACCAACCTTTGATTGTTTCTCCTGTGTTTCTGTATCCCCTCCCTTCCCTGATTACCAATTGTTTGAATCCACCCTTTGGAACTCAGGGAAGGTCAAGGAGGCTGAATGAAGCCTATATCCTACAGATAAGAAATGGAGAACACACAGCAGATCTGTACTCCAGAGTCACCACCCGAGTCTTGCTCAGTTTTAATTTAGGGAACTGGGCAACTATGACTGTAATAACTTCCTGTCAAAATGGGGCATAGGACTGTCTCAGCTNATGTCTATATTAGATAGGTCAACAAACAAACATTAATATCAGGTATTTAATACTGAATATTTCCCAGTTCACCTGAACCTGGAATTTATTGTTTAATTTAGAATTATTTGATTTGTAAGCACTTACTTTTTAAAAGCCAATTAAATAGAGCTCATTTACAAATTAACCTAAAAAGTATTACCCAGAGACAAAGACATACCAAGACATATTTAGACAGACACAGTGCAAGATCTAGCTTCATTTTCTAAGTTTGGTCATGAATTAGATATTACAATATAAAATTTAAATAAATAACATTTTTAAAGGCTTTTCCCCTTTCCCCCCCTCAGTCTCAGGAGTTAGAGATGGTCTAGATAAATGTTCCTGAGAGCCCTGGTCTCAAGGCACAGGGAAAGAAAATCAAGTTCTAACAAAATGGCAGCAGGTCTAAATGGTGGCCAGACAAAGCAAAATGGCCGATACAAATCACAACACAGAACAGAGTTAAAACACACACATATAAACCTGGCAGTCCTCATCAGACACTCCCTTAAATACAAGAATACAGTCTCTCAGAAAACCTTCTATAGAGACACAGAACTTCAGATCCAAGTAGTAACACTTAAAGGAAAATGTCTCAGGTCTTCAGAGATTTCAGAAGGAGGAAAGGAAGCCAGGTTGAAAGAAGAAAGGGGAGGAGGCGAGAAAGGGTGCAAAAGGGGTGGCCTTACAGACGTCTCTTGCCACCTGCAGATACCCAGGCCTCACGGGACTTTTCCCTGGGCCTCCAGAGAAGGGAGGGCTGGATCTTGGCCCTCCCAGAAATCAGAACCAGAATTCGAGTTCTCTGCCAAGAGCAGCAGGTAATCAGTCTCCAATCCTTAGCTCAGACTGAGGCCCTTTGACCAGGTTCCTGCGTCTAGGATCGGGGGACTAGACAAAAAGGGGCAGGATAGGAAGGGTTAAGGAGAGGAAAGAGAGAGGGAAGGGGAGAGAGGCCAATAAAGTCTCTGTTCCTTACAGGTCGGGGCACTCTGGCCAATTGTCTGCATCAGGACGAGAACAGGGACAAAAAGGTCCCAGTTTCGGCTGCTGGGTCTGGTTCATTGGCAGGCAAGCTGGCCCCTGAGTACCCTGAGTGGTCAGGATGTCAATTGCTGCAAAGAGTCCCCACCAGAGTTGCCATTTGTTGCAGGAAGGGGGATCCCTTTCAGGGCCTGAAACTGGGCTCTTGTCTAACACTCGGAAATGAATTGTCCGAGGAGACACACATGCTGACAAAGCAAGAGATCTTATTGGGAAAGGGTGCCCAGGCGGAGAGC